GAAATCTGTCCAAATAGCCAGTTAAAGTTAAAGCCGGCAGCAGGCCATAATTAGGGTCAATTGCGGCTAACCGCCGCCAATCGACGACAACAAAAGCTTTTGGCCAAATGAAGCGGCCGGGGAAAAAGTGCTACACTTCATTAGGCGCCATGACAAACGAAGAGTTGCAGCGAAAAGTGGGGTTGTGGCTTTGATTTAAAAGCAGCCTGGCCCACCGATTACCCAGGGATCGTTTTCGGCCACCACGCCCCCAGAATACAGTTGTCCAATTACAGGCAGGTCTTTGTCAAATTATCTCGTTTTGAGCTGCGAAATGAATACGTGCTATCTTCACAGCCAACTGTGAAAGTTACCATAAAACCTAATGAGTTGCAAAGTTAAATATTTTTTTTTTAAAGATTGCAAACATTAAAGTCGGATATCATGGAGAAGAGTTAGCTGGGGAGAGAGTGAACTTCATCGATGGAGAGGGAAATCCATTCCGTGGCCCACAAAAATGAGTTTAGCACGCTCCGCAAAACTAAGTCAAGGCCCCAAGCAACGATTTTCGTTACCGATTTGGGTGAGCAAATCTATCGAGACGAGAAAAACACTTAAGCGGTCGCTTTTATTCGACTCTTGCATACATTTTCTCATCACGTTTCAAACTATGTATCTCGTGTGGAAAAGCACAGCAAAGCATCAAAATATTTATGTTTCAAAAGGAATGGCAGCCAAACAAAGGTCAGTCCGCAGCCGTGGTTGTTGCCAAACATATGGAAAATAGATGATGAGCCCCACAACGGAATGCTGCAATATAAAAAGTCAGCAGTTCCACGAAGATTATATGGCAGGTAGCAGCTGAATATAATTTAAAAATCTAAAAAAAGGGAAGACAAGATGCAATAAATTTAGGCAGTTTTAGAAAATACATCTTGTGGTGGCGCAACACCTAACAACAGATATGTACGTATTTCTAGATGAACAAGTTTTCTTAGGCATAGAGAGCTTCAATATCAGAAAATAGTGGAACCTAACTGATTTAAGCACAATTTTTCTCCAAATATTAACTTTACAAATCGCCCAAAATGGAGGCTATTTAATAACATATTTGCTAAAATGTTTGTTAGAGAGAAACCAATGAAATTAATTTCAGCACACCACTTATCTCCATTTGGTTTCGATGACGTTTATGGCATTTTCCAAATCGAATGTTAAACCGTTAACCGCCACAAGGTTCGAGTCAATAAACCGCTGCCGACTGCGGTGACTTTGTTGCCGTGCTGTGAGATCAAGTTGCATTTTTATGGGGCCAAGGGTCGTCGTGGCCACCACCGTCATCATCACCAACTCATCATCATCAGCATCATCGTGGTATCTTCGCCTACGTAGACGCGTGCCTGGAGAATTGTGTGCAATGCACACTCCGTTGTTCCAGCGGAGCCATTAAAGAGGCATAAATCTTGGTTATGAAATTGGAAATGATTTGCTGTGCAGACACTTTCAAGTAGGGAGCATAGCGCTCCGAGAACTGATGCGTTCAGGAAGTGTCTTGCGCTTGGACCCCGAAAAAAGCGTTAATGAAAAGGAAAGTTGGTCAGCGGCCGAAAAAATGCCACTTCATGCCCACTACCACCGCCGAGTAGAAAGAAAAGCAAAGACGAGGAGACGGCGAAAAGAAGTCAAGGCAGCTCTAGAAGAAGAAATTTCTATAAACAAAGAGATGAAACGCCGAGGCAGAGCAAAATTATCAAAGAACAACAAAAACCGAGAAACAAAAAAAAAAAAGAAGTGGAAAATGGGACATGGCACACTCTTGGGCCCACAGAAACAACAAAGACTGAATGAAATTCATGTCGTTGTCGCGCTCATAAATTCTTCTACGCCTATATATCGCTGGCTATCTGAGAGATACAGATACACCCACACTCGGAAAAACTACCAACTCATTCAGCCGGGGAGGAGCTGGCTGCATCCGCTCTATACCTACATATATGCCTACTTATAAAAAAGAATCTATGTAAATTTTGTGTATTTTGAATAAATTCCAAGCCTATCGAAGGTGTGAGGCCAGTTATCGTACAGTTTTGTATTCTCCATAGACTAGAGTCTAGACTCTAGACCCTACAACAAGTGATTCACGCAACGAAATGGAAAGCGGGGAGAAATATGTATACAAATCTCCCAAATAAATTCAAAGGCCATGGAATGTTCGACTGAGAGCATAAGATAAGCTTAATTAGCAGGGCAACCAAAATTTCACTTTCCTTCGGTACAGAACCGTCGTTTTCTAAACTATTTCTGAATTTCCAACGATTACTGCGCCATTTAGGCATTTCGACTAATTGGCAGCCATTTGGCTGTCGGGGGGAGGGCACTCACGTGCCGCCCATCGATCTGCAGCAAACTATACGCCTTAAAAATAAAACCCGCTGCCTGGCGCAAATGAACTTTGGGATCGAAGAAATTCAACTAGATCGTCAACAAAAGAACCCAATGGGTTTATTTTCAGCCTCAAGTGCAAGTCCTATAAGAAGATCGAACAAAACAAAACACTTGATGAATGCAGCTGAAGAAGGTGCAAAAATCAAACAACAACTAGAAAAAGAAGGCCGCGGGGAGTGAGCAGAAATCGTTCCTTTTATTTTATTTATTTTTCCCCTCTATGCGGGCGCACACAAATGAAAACAAATTAGCTAAGGCAGCATTAACGGCCGGCTGCCAAGGGCGGAAGTACGGGGGAGTTTACTGTTAATTTTATAAACACCACGAAGACCACAATGGAAAAAAAAAAAAACACCACAAAAATGCAGCAGTAGCAACAGCCAACAAACAACAACCACCAAACCGGCAAAATCCCAATAGGGCAGCTGCATTTCGGCAGCAAACCCAAGTGGAATGTGCATTCGAATTGGGAACTATATCCCTTCTCGATTCCTGACAATGAGCCGTGAACATCTGTCGCAGTTTTACGCGGAAAACTGTCTTTCCGCTGAATCGGAAAAAAGGGAGAAACCGAAACTGGAGAGAGCGAGTGCTGGGAAAACCAGCACCAACATCGGAAGCATCTTCATCATAACTTGCAAATGTGTTTGTGTTATTTTTACATTTCCGCTGCTTACGAAAATATTTACGCTCCCCTTCGCACCAGACCTTCCCCATTTCGAATTTCAAATTTCAAATTCCAGACGCTCGCACACACGCACGTGTTAGAGATGAGCCAGATTTCCGAGTGCATCGCATGGTGACAACAGGTTCGATTCAAATGAATATGCAAATGTTACAAAAAAAAAAAGAGCCTAAAGGGTGTACTGGTGGCTGTTGAGCTCAAAAAGGAGGAAACATTTACTTTTCAAATTAAATCATATGCTATTCAAAACAGATGTGAAAAAGTTAACAGCTTTACCAGCTCTATAAAACATTATGTTTCGTTTTAAGTTTACTTTTACGTTACTGTTAGCAATTCTAAAAGCCTAAGTAGACAAAAGTACAGCAATTTTACATTTCCCGATACAAAATTATTTGTCTTTTAATCTCGAGAAAACCTTGAAAACCATGTTGTGTCAAGATGCAGGAAAAGCAGCGGGTGACAACTTTTGGCAGGCAGTGTGCGAAAGCTAAGGTCAGGCCCATCTCTAGGTTGCTTCCGCACACAGACACGCACGCACACAACGATGGGGACATGCCAACGATAACAGAGCTAATCCATTTAATTCTGGCTTTTAACCGATCCCTGCTAATACTATTTATTTACCCGTTCGGTTTTGGCGACTGCTTTCTATCCCGCTCGCTCTCTCTCCGTTCTTATTGCCGTGTGGCCATAATCCAATTATGCATGTGTGTATGTGTCTGCTCTCTATTGCAATTGCAGTTATTCGCATCCGCCGTGGTATGCAACCCACACACTTGCACTCGCGCACTCACGCACCCGCAGACATCCAAAATGCGAGGACCGAAAATCCTGAGCGTCAACAAAATAAATATAGCTCTGGTGTTTTAAAATAGGTTTTCACTCGATTCTGCGTTTGCTGTCTCTTCTTGTTTATGTGCATTCGTTGGTTGTGTGTACTTGTTTTTTTGTTAGACGCGACTGTCCATTCAACATTTCCACTCCGTCGACGCAGAGCGAAATTATAACTGTTAACCGATTCACTGTCACTGCTTAAATGGGTTATAATCGATGGTCCAGTCTGGAATGGAGCTAAAGATATGTTGGTTTCATTTATGTCTGCACTCGCGAAAAAGCGTCCACAAATTAACAGTTTTTCGGGAGCGACGCGCAGCTAAACGTCCGACTTTGTTTTCCGACTCGATTAGAGTGACCGTTGTTGGATGGTGCAAAAAAGTGAAAGGCCAATGCAAAGACCATTAAAAATACCAGATGTGCGATATCTACTATCGATAAAAAGCAGAACGTCTTAATTTTACTTTAAACTAATTATATAACGGGTTTTCGTGTTTTATTTAACAATTTTGAAATGCGACTACTTCTTCTTGATGTACTTCATGTACTTCTTGGCGTTGAAGTTGTCCTCCACTTCCTCCATGATCTTGACCTTCTTGCGCGGCTTGCGGGCCTCCAATCGAGATCTGCGCTCTGCATCGGTTAAGGTGCTCAGATCCAGGGGAAGCTAGTACATGGAAATAGTTAACGTTAAGCTCACTTAAGCTTATAGCTACTATTATTACCTTGATAATCTTCCTCGGCTCGTGATAGCGGATGTTTATCGTGGATCCATCGGGCTGAACCACTACAGTGGGATATAGCCGGCAATAAACCGAGCGATGCAGCCTGGTCACCGCAGTTGTGGCCGATGAGATGCAGCGTACCTGCTGAACAGCCTGGGGCAACTGTTTCAGCAACATTTTAATTGGTAATAACAATATTTACTCGTTTTTAGCTTAATAAGAGCTTCACTTAAATCGTGTTTTTGCCAGGCAGCTGATAGTGTGACCGACAGGGGGTTAGAATTAAATATTCCTGATGTTGTTATCGAAATTCGTGCAGCCCTAGTTCAATTTCCACATTACGAGGTATTTCCACCAGCTGTGGTCACACTCGTACTCAAAGTGTAAGTGTTGGTGCTGAGGCAGAAATTCTTAATTTCTCCTTAAAAATATAAGTACGTTGGGTTAAACCTTGGAAAAAATAATAAAACAAGGCGCATTGTTTGGCTAAAACAGTGATCAATCTGCAAGCCTTGATGAAAGGGCTGCAAACGCGTTTTTTGGTTGAATGAACATCGAGACACCACTGCGGATAGAAAAAATTACATAATTTTTGCGAGCATAACTCGCCGTGCGTTATGCCGATTCTCTATTTCTAAGGAAACAGAGATTACATTTCAACTAATGAGAACATCGAGGCACAGCTCCAGAACACATAAAAATCCCTTCCCACCTTTATAAGCCCAAAAACCTAACCTCATCCGCTTTTGTTGTTGTCTTGCAGTATTTGTGCAGAATGGCCGCCCGCCGTATCGCCCAATCCTCGATCAACTGGTCCGCTCTTGCTGAGCGCGTGCCCGCCAACCAGAAGAGCAGCTTCGGCGCCTTCAAGACCAAGTCGGACATCTATGTGCGCGCCGTGCTGGCCAACCCCGAGTGCCCACCCCAGATCGATTGGGCCAACTACAAGAAGCTGGTGCCCGTGGCCGGACTCGTCGACAGCTTCCAGAAGCAGTACGAGGCCCTGAAGGTGCCTTATCCCCAGGACAAGGTTTCTTCCCAGGTGGATGCCGAGATCAAGGCCTCGCAAAGCGAAATCGACGCCTACAAGAAGGCCTCCGAGCAGCGCATCCAAAACTACCAGAAGGAAATCGCCCATCTGAAGTCGCTGCTGCCCTACGACCAGATGACCATGGAGGACTACCGCGACGCATTCCCCGAGAGCGCACTTGACCCCCTCAACAAGCCCACCTTCTGGCCCCACACCCCCGAAGAACAGGTTGGCTACAAGTCCAAGGAGCAGTTGGAGGCCGAGGCCCAGGGACACCACTAAACCGGAGAGCAAGAGGAGCACTCTGACTCTGGCTTCGTTGATCGTCTGTTCGATTCGAAATGTAATCCACGTTGAAGTAAATTACCCAAATTAAATTCATTTCAAATGAGAATTACGTTGTCTGATCTTCTGGATATAGAAAAAAAAACTTTTGCTCCAGACTAGTGATATACTCATGATAATGTTACGATTCCACAATAAGTATAAAATGGAATTCACGATCACGTTTTAGGAAATTTTTTCGTTGATATAGCTAAAGAAAATAGTGCACAAAAATCAAAATAGAGGACATTCTTTAGAAGAAATTAAGAAAATTAAAGTCGAGACGAGCCCAATGCGCTTTGTGCTATCGTCGTTCCTTGCAGTTAAGTTTTTAATGGTGAAGAAAAAGGACAAGTGCACAAATCACTACAAACTAAATTGTTTTAAAATTGAAAATTAAACTTCATTAGATATTTTGTCTTGCGAAGTCAAAAAATTTGAATTACGAAACGGCGCTGATTGGTGGCCGACTCCGCTAAGCGTGGATCGTGTACTGACTAAGTGAAATGGATACCAACTAAAGCTCCCTCTTTTGGGCGGTAGCATCGGATTTTCTAAGGATGGCCGGCGCTGCCATCCAGATGTCTGTGGATGTCGAGCACTGCCATCCTGATTTCTACGGTCATGTATTGTATAGATTTAACTGCTTAATATTGCCACACCGTTGGATTTTAATTTAATTTAAATCTGTACCCTGGCTTGTGTCCGCACTACAAGCAGTATATTTTGGATTTAGCCGATCGCCCCGATCGCTTTAGTATATTTTTCGAATGCCACCTGGTGTATTTCAAATATTGACAAGCTGCCACTCTGTCCGCCTTCTTCCGAGAGAGTTCAAGCAGTGCACTCTCCTGGCTTACGAAAATCCGTTAAAAGCTCCAGCCGCCGCTCAAATCTCGTTTCTCTCTTCATCTCTCTTCATCTCGCTCCCCTTTCTCGCACCTTTCGCGAGGAAAAAGCCGCAGCAGCGCGTCTTAACTTGTCCGCGAAGTGCACCTTCGTGTCCGGGGCCGCAAATGCCGCGCAGCACGACGCGATCGGTTCAGTCGCGAGCGAATCGAGTTGGAGTGCAAACGTCTCAAGCGGAATCTCAAGTTGTAGCGCCAAACGCAGCGATCCGATCGGAGTGTACATGCCTGTGAATCGCTGAAATACAAAGTTGAACCAAGTTGGAATTTGCCACCAGTCGAAACCAATCTCGAATCGAATTAATATACGCGCCATTTGCATAAAGCGCCTCTAAAGACGCGCTTCTGTCAGTTAACGTTAACCCACTTTCTAAACGACCAAAACCAAACCAAACCAAACAAAAAAAATAGAAGAATAATACTGCGACCGATATTCAGCAACAACGAAACCAATTAACAGGCAAATAATGCCGAGCAAATAACACCGAAAAACGTGCAAGTGATTCATGGTTTTTTTTCTTCCAAGTGAAGTGCTTAGGTAAAAATCGAAACACACATACTGCACAGCTTGAAAAGCAAAGCTGGCTGGAAAACGCACTGGAAGCGATAACGATACCTGGAACGCCCCCATCCAACGACTGCCAGTCAGTTGAAACCGCAACTGCAGCAGCATCATCTACTCATCTACTCGGCCAGAAACAACAGCAAAAAGTACGGATTGCAAACAACCCGGGTAAGTTACACCATCGTACATCATCGCACAAAAACAACAAAATCTACTATAATGGGGGCCCATACACACACAGCTCGCAGGGAGCCTTTGCATTCCCTTTTCCTCAACGTCTGCAAACGGGTTAACAAGATGTGGCTAATACAACGATCAATAGGCCTGCAAAAGTGCAGCACTGCCGACGCGAGTTAGAATGCATTTCATGCGGCTTTCGACCGAACAATACCTGGTACTGATAGTGTGTATGCTTTTCTTGCCGTGAAACTTACGCGAAACTTGCCATTTCCTGCCATGAATGATCGTGCAAATCGATCAAAAATATATTAACAATTATATAAAAATATAAAACAATATTAATAATATTATCCAGCCTCAAATCTTTGTTCATAATCAATAATTTCCTACTACGAAAATAGTTTTGAATTGAGTTACATTTAATATTTTAAAATGTGTAATCCCGAAACCTGTTTCAAGATATTGGAGTACATATTTAGGAATTCCAAATTTATATCAGGCTGAAAGCAAATGTTAATCCGATTAAAAAAGTGTGATCAATGCCCGATCCGTTTCATTTCGGTTGGCTCCCTAAAAGGAACTTATCAAGCGCCGAAATCGTAATCCAAATGGATGTATAACTGCCAATTCGGAGGGCCTCCACAACATACCCCAAGTAGGGAATGCCCTTGAATGCCCCTCCGTCGTTTCTTTGGGGTCCTTCTGTTTTGGGGCATGCATTCCATATTTCATAATCCGCTGTCTGGCAGCATAACTTTTAGCACCTTCGAGCACCTTCGCAGTTTCGCATTTCAGCGATGCAAAGACAAACACACACACACACACACACTTTACACCCGAGGGGGCTATAATTTCTTTGGATAATTATTACTCGTCTGGCATATTTTTTTTGCTGGCATTTTAAAGCTGTTTTGACCGGCGCTGACTCTGTGAAATTTTTTGCGCTAAAGCCACAATTTCGGATTTTGTTGCTTTTTGTGCGCTCGTTTGCATAAACACCTCAACGGATATTTATTTTTCTTAATTTAAATAGCTCAGTTTAGAAAATTTCTCCTTTAGCAGCGCTAAGTAAAAAGTGCAACGGATGTGTGAGCAAAAACAAATATAATGCTAATATATTTATGTCATTTGATATGCCCTTTACTCGATTTTCGACAATATCTGCTGCAAACGGGTTTGGTGTTAGTTATAAAATAAATACGAGTTGCCTGGGAAGTCTTAGGAATGTAAATCGGTAATTCGAGATGCTTTAGGTAACGAAAGCGTTGGCCGATCTGGTAAGTGACAAAGCCACTGGCTTAGATGACTCAAATCCGCCATAGGACGCATACTAGAATTTACAAATGACTCAATGTTCTTAGAAGAGTGAAAGCATTTGGATACTTTATTTTTTGGTGTTTCCATTTATTGTTGTTTCGTTTGCTACAAGACAACTTCTGATGCTCTACGTGTATTACTGTGTGCTACTTTCAGTTTTCAGTTCTTTGTATTATTTTACATTTAACATTAGCATTTACCCCGTACAAAGCGGCTACTTTGAAAATCAAGAGCGCCACGGAAGAAATGCATCAATCCATAATCAAACAAAAGTCTCGTTCTTTCAGTAGGATTTTATTCCACTTGGCAGTTCTGTCCAAGTTGTTTTCTCAATGGCCAGCACATGGGACCGTCCTTTTCGCCCCTTTGCCACTTCTTGTGGATGTTGCTTGCCAACTGCATTCGAGACGTAACTCATAACCAATTGCCATGAATGAAATTCGCATTTCATTACACCGATGGCCGGTTTGGTGGCTGCTTGTGTGGTTTTCAACAATCGACGACAATAGCTACGCACGTTCGCAAAAACCAAAAAGAAATTGTCAATAAAGTGCGAAAGGAGACGCCCGGGGCAGGGCAAAAGATACAAAAAATGCGAAAAAGATACAGAAATTGCCACAGAGAAACGTGTTGCACCGCCACGGGCTTGGCGGCCCATCCCCATGCCATACCATACCACACCATACCATACCATACCACACCATCCCATGGAATTGAGTGCAATCGTGATACAAAGTGGATGGTGCGGACAGGGGCGTAAATTCGAATTAACTATCAGCTAGATACTCGTACTTTCACAAAACTCGTTCGGACAAATGGACAAATGGCACAAATATGAGCATTTTATTTGCTGCACTTTATTTTCTTCGTTTTATGCAATCTTTCGAGATTTTTCATTTGTTTGTTTGTGCGGCGCATAGTTGCTTTATTAGCAACGTGCCAAACGCAAGCAAACAGAAGGCAAATCAACTGAGCAAACAAGAAGTTTGTAAAGGGAAAACTGCATTTTGGCACGAATTTCGCAGGGGGAGCGTTACGCAGTAAATTTAAAGAGAAATAAGCCCCGCAATAATTATGCATCCAAAGCCAACTTTCCACTTTTCCCCCAAACTGAGCAGCATTTCCAAGGCACGCACTTGCTTTTGTTTTGTTTCTATTATTTTATATACAAGTAGTAGCATAGTTAATATGCCTGTGTGCCTCTCGCATTGTTTACCAAATCTGTGTCTTAAATTGTTTGCTTTCATTGCCGTTTGCATAATAATTGAAACGATGCAGATTAAACGTCTGTGGTCATGGACTCCACTGCCCTTTGTTTGCCATATTTGCCTCATCTTTTTCATCCGCTTTTCCCATGCTGAGTGGGCGATAAGCGAAACGTGATTGATTGAATACAAAACGCTGGCAGAAAAGCCGTATGACAGGTCGGGAACTTCGAATGGGTCTCGCTCTGTCTGAGAGTCTGGGTCTCTTGGGGGTCTGGCCTCATTCCTTATCAGTTGCCTCAATTGCGGGTGATTTATCACAGGTGTTGGGTCTCATTCGATCAGCAAAGGCAACAGCTGCGGATTCTGCTCGCTGATAATTGCAAACTTGAACTTTGCGAATTCGTGTTTTCTAATCTGGGTTAAAAGAGATTTGACGTGATGTTTACAAGTCAGGTATCTGTCGAGCATAACAGGTTTTTGGTCTATCTAAATATTGCTTGTGCATTTTCTTTAATTTGTTTATTTTATTAAATAATACAATTTTAGCCAATTTGGGTTGTTAAAATAATTCATATTGTGCTTACCTCAATTCTTACTTTTCTTTAACACGCTCATATCATCCATAATAGTACTTATTATTTATCTAAACAAAATGCCTTCTGGGTAAAGATTCTTGCTACAATAAAAGCAATTAGTTACCAACTATTCTTTCTCTACGATGAAACTTATTTCTTATTTCTGTCTGCTTCCGAGAGTTAAAAGTTCAATTTCCTCTGACACCCTTCTTTTTTAGCCGCGAAATCTCTTTTGCGAAATAAATAAATAACTCAAGCCAATGATAATTTTTCTCCTTTTTTGTCAGTAAATCATCGGCTTGTTGTTCATTTTGCGC